AGACAAGGATGGCCATGCCTCCACATTCGAAGTAGCCGACGGCGACAACCTCCTCGACATCGCACAAGCCAACGACATAGAAATGGAAGGCGCATGCGGAGGATCTTGCGCATGCTCAACATGTCACGTCATAGTCGAAGACGAAGCCTACTACGACAAGATGGAGGAGCCGGATGATGACGAGAACGACATGTTGGATCTGGCCTTTGGACTTACCGAGACGAGTCGCCTGGGGTGTCAGGTCAAGATGAGCAAGGAGCTCGATGGGCTGGTTGTGCGACTGCCGAGCATGACGCGGAATCTGCAGGCCAGCGATTTCGACAGCAAATGAAAAGACTTTGGAGAAGTGTCGTGAATCCACAGGGGATTTATTGGTGGGGAGACATCTTGGGAGAAATGACTGCAGGACATCTGTTGGAAGGCATTATGGGCCATATCGCATACAGCATTTGAGACGACATGTATTATACGAACACTCCGCTTGCAGATGAACTGGCGTTGAGTACGACTCTGAACTTATGTATAGTATATGGTATCATGAACATATTCAAACTATGTCTTTTGTCCCAAACGCCGAGTTGTGCATATAAGTCGCCATCAGGCCTCCACGCTACCCTCCTTCTTTTGTCCTCCTGTGATCATGTCGAGGAAACCCTGCTTGCTCATCTCCTTGACCTTCTCTTCCCTCTTGTCCATACCAACAACCATGCCCGCCTTGCTCTCCCTCTCGGCCTGTTCACCCTTGACCTGCGCCGCTCGTACGGCGTTGAAGAGCTTGATGACACCCTTCTGTGCCGTCCGCCTGAGCTCCTTCTCCTTCGCTGATGTGGCGGCTGTGCTGACGTTGGGGTCGTTAAGGCCCAGAACGTCCTTCACACGGCCCTTTTCTTGTGCCGCCTTCCTCTCAGCAACAATCTGTCGTCGCGCCTTCTCACTGAGCTTGGAGTCGGCGAGCTCGCGGTTGGCGGTTGCGGCGTCTTTGCTGCGGGACAAAATGGGCTCGGAGCGTTTCGATGTCGTCAGCTTCGAACCAAGAATCTTGGAGATGGAGTTGGCGAAGGCTTCGGGGTCGTTTCGTTTCCGTACTTTGCGCGCGGCCGTGGTTGAGGTCTCGGAGGCATCTGATTCGGAGTCGGCAATCGAGAACTCATCCGCCTCAGGCTCAGAGTCATCTATTTCGTCCACATCGTCTTCGGCGTCGCTGGGCAATGGCGCTTCGTGGTCGACGGGCGCAGTCTTCTTGAGTGCCGACTTTGCCGGAGCCTGTGCAGGTATGCTGGCCTTGAACTTGGGCTCAGGTTTCTGCACGGGTGCCGCTTCGATTTCCTCTTCGTCGTCGCTGGCGGAAGACTCCTCTGCCGCTGCCGCTTGCTGTGCCGCCTTCTTGGCCTCGAACTTTGCCTGTTTCCTCAGCTGCTGCTTCGAGAGCTCTTGCTTTCCAGGTAACGTCGCATTGACACCAGACGGCTGGAATGGCTCCTCGGGCTCCTGGCTGCTTCCGCGCAATGGAGCATCGCGCGCGCCGCCTTCCTCCTCGCTGGAACTGTGGTAGTTCTTCTGCTTCTTGACCTTTCTCTTCTCCTTCTTGGGCACCTTTCCGCGCAGCTGCTCCTCGGTCCGTCTCCGTTTCAGCGATGTGTTGACCATTCTGGCTGTGAAAGTCGGGTTATGTGAATGCTGCAGGTAAATCGCGTCGCAGAAAAAAGTTCCAGGCGATCGGCGTTAGTAGCCCAAATGGCCGACGGCAAGCGCGCCCCGCCATAGTGGATTCCCCACAGAACACCACGAGAGGCACACCACCCAACACCCACAACCCTATCCCTACCATCATCTCTCCCTACCAACCGCCGCTATGGTGCTTCAAGATCTCGGGCGGCGCATCAATGCCGCCGTCACCGACCTCACGAGGTCGCCCAACCTCGACGAGAAGGTGCGCGCCCCGAGCAGGCGACTGAGGATAGGTGGCTAACATGCGCAGGCCTTCGAAGCCATGGTCAAGGAGATCTCCAACGCCCTCGTCGAAGCCGATGTCAACGTCAAACTCGTCATGAACCTGCGCCAATCGATAAAGAAGGCCGTCGACTTCAAGCACCTCGCGCCGGGCGTCAACAAGAAGCGCCTCATCCAGAAGGCCGTCTTCGATGAACTCGTCAAGATGGTCGACCCCCATGCCGAGCCCTTCAAGCCCAAGAAGGGCAAGTCCAACGTCATCATGTTTGTCGGTCTCCAGGGTGCGGGTAAAACGACGACGTGTACAAAGCTGGCGAGATGGTACCAGGCAAGAGGCTTCAAGGCCTGCCTGGTGTGCGCCGACACTTTCCGTGCCGGTGCCTTCGACCAACTGAAGCAGAACGCGACCAAAGCCAAGATCCCATACTACGGTAGCCATACGCAGACCGACCCTGTAGTGGTGGCGGGCGAGGGTGTGGAGAAGTTCAAGAAGGAGCGCTTCGAGATCATCATCGTGGATACCTCGGGACGACACAGGCAAGAGAAGGACCTCTTCGACGAGATGGTGCAGATTCAGAACGCTGTGACACCCGACCAGACCATCATGGTGTTGGACGGAACAATCGGACAGGCTGCGGAGTCGCAAGCACGCGCTTTCAAAGAAGCCGCAGATTTCGGAGCCATTGTCATCACCAAGACCGACGGTGCGGCAGCAGGAGGTGGTGCCATTTCAGCCGTCGCAGCAACACATACACCCATCGTCTTCCTCGGTAACGGAGAACACATGCTGGATCTTGAGCGTTTCGCGCCACAAGCTTTCGTCTCGAAGCTGCTCGGCATGGGAGATGTCCAAGGGCTCGTCGAACACGTACAATCTCTAAAGCTCGACCAGAAGGACACAATGAAGCACATCACCCAGGGTATCTTCACAATCAAGGACCTGCGGGATCAGCTCTCCAACATCATGAAGATGGGGCCGTTGTCGAAGATGGCGGGCATGATTCCTGGACTCAGCAGCATGATGGGCGGCATGGACGACGAAGAAGGGGGCACAAAGTTGAAGCGCATGATCTACATCTGTGACAGTATGACTGAGAAAGAGCTGGAGTCGGACGGAAAGATGTTCGTTGATCAACCCACGCGTATGACCCGTATCGCCCGCGGCTCTGGTACCTCGGTTCGCGAAGTCGAGGAACTGCTTACACAACATCGCATGATGGCCGGTATGGCGAAGAAGATGAAGGGTGGAATGGCAAACATGCAGAAAGCACAGGGTGCGATGGGCGGAGGCAACAAGCAACAACAACTCGCGGCTATGCAGAAGCGCATGCAAAGTATGGGTGGCGGCGCAGGTGGTGCAGGCGGCGGCATGCCAGATATTGGCGCTATGATGAAAATGATGGGTGGAGGAGGAGGCGGTGCCGGCGGCATGCCCGATCTATCCGCGCTCGGCGGCATGGGAGGGGGAGGTATGCCTGATATGGGCGCCTTGATGAAGATGATGGGTGGCATGGGTGGTATGCCAGGTATGGGTGGAAGTGGTGGAGGTGGGCAAGGCAAGGGACGGAGGTAGTGTCACAGCTAAGAGGATATCAGTTTGCGCTTTTTGATGCATAGCCGCGGCGTTCGGGTTTGATATCACATCGGGGGATTCTATGTGTTGAGGTACACGCTGTATGTCACTACTTCCACCTGTTCCATGCTCTGGCCTTCTGCCTGAGTAGCAATTGTCTTGCTCATGTTTGATACGAGGAGCTGTCTTGTGCCAGGTCGTGCCAGAACGTCAGTTTGTTGTTCCAGAATTATTAAGACAGCACTTTCGACTCAGTCTGTTTGCGGTCGCCCCCTATATCATCCCGATTCTCTTCTCTTACAACGTCCCAAGAGCCTCGTCAATAATAGCACTTGACACCGCTATACTGAACCACTGCACGATCCACAACAACCTATTGCAGCCATGGCCGCTCCACTTTCCCTCCTGCTCCACCCTTACTATTTCCCTGAGCTCGTGGAAATCTACAAAGCCTATATGCGCTCCGACTTCTCCACCCAACAACCCAATGCTCTCACGAACATTCTTCTCATCAATGATCAAATCAAGCATGAGTATGAGTCGGTATTCGTTAATGAGGCTCAAAATGTAGCCGCACGTCTGAGGCAGGATCTCACTACCCGCTTCCCATTACTGCACTTTACAGTCAAAATACCCCAGACCTGGGACGAAGCAAAGTGTTTGAGTATGAATGTCGTGATGAGTGCAGCGAACATCACGCAACCTAGGGTGTTTAGAACATTCACGGAACAGATACTGAGGGAACGTACGCTACTTCATACCCGTACCTTAGAGCTTCGTCTGGTAGCTGCGCATCCCCCCATGCCGATTCCGCCTTCGAATTCGTCTGGTACTGGTCCAGGTAGATACCACACACCGAGGCATCTAATCTTTGCACTGGGACAAGATATAGTCAACAAGTTCACGGGTAGCGATGAAACGAGGAAGAGCGGAGTCAGTAAAGTCGTTGTGTCGTGGGATGCTGGGATGGATGTAAATGACGAGTGGAGTGGCTTGTTACAACAATTGCATGTTAATGTTGCACACAGCTTGGGTTGGTATGGGCAAAGGGTTGCAATCATCGCTCAGGGGGTTAGGCAAGTTCAGTGGTGGATACTATGAGCAAGAGTTTCTAAGAACGAGAATGCGAAGTGTAGGGCTACGTTAACCTAGAAAAAAACTAAACAGCCTAGAGCCTACGTTAACGTTAGGCTACCTACTTTGCAAAGTTTTAGGTTAATGTAGTCTACAAACCTATTTAGTTTTTTTTTTATGTATAAAGTAGGGCTGTACCTAGGTAGAGGTTGTGTTATTAATGTAGAATCACCGCGATAACACTGTCAGGACATGCTGTTCTTCCAAGTTTTCACTACAACATGCCCATTCACACGCGCCCGTGAGCCTACTTAACGCTGACTCTTTCTTTTTCTAAACTTCCCGACTAACCCGCACCTCCACACCCAAAACATCAGTGCCAATCCACCCAAATTCACCAAACATGTCTGTCCCAAGCAAGCAGACACAAGAGAATTCCGAAGTTTCGGATCCATCGACGCATCAAGACGATCTCTCGGATCTGCTAGCTGAATACCCATTCGGTCACATAAAGCGCGGAGCCCACGAAGTCCACGAACTACAGGGCGTATCAATGAACCGCAAGGACGTCGTAGATCTACTAGACGCTTACGCAGCCCTAGACATCTGGTTCTACGTCCCCAACCCTCACTCTGACCTGAAACAACTAGAAGCCAACTTCTACCTTTCCGACAACAACATCTCCGCCACCAACACGCGCCATGTCATCGTCCTAGTCCGCCATTTTCTCATCTGCGTAGCCACATTGCCCCACTTGCATACTCTCGTTATTAATACAGACGTTCCAGAGTCAGCGACCCAGTCGCCGGAGACTGAGCTGCTCCAAACGCGGTTTATCAAGGAGATCATGCGGGAGGTTTTTGCGTGGTTTATAGGTGGTGGGGAGAAGTTTCGAGTGATTTTGTGTACCATGGGGGAGACGGATGCTGGGGGTAGTTTTAGGCATGTTTTAAGAGAGGCTGACGGGGAGAAAGCGGGGATGAGCGTGAGCCCTTGGGAGCAAACGTTTGGAGGAATGAAGAGGAGCGGGATTGTTTGGCGGAGGGTGGCATCTTCTGCGATCTCGATGCCGAGAAGAGCTTCCGTGTAAGCGGGTTGGTTGCCTGGGAAGCGGGGAGAAGACAAGATGTAACTGATGGAATGTGGATGTGTGGTAGAGCCTGTATAGGCTTTTTGAATGATACGAGACGTTGAAATTGCCGATAGCTACTGTATTGTTTATTATATTAGCTCCTCGCCTTTCTTGTCCATGTCTTTCTGCTGTGCCTGTTCTTTCTGATACTCTTCAAAGTCAAAGCCTAGCTCCTTCACATCTCTAATGTCCCTCCTCTTCTCCCCCATCTTTCCAAACGCCTGTCGTATCTTTGGGAAGTTCTCGCGACACCAGTACTCCCACTCGCCCCATATCGGTGGTGTCTTTCCCTTGCCGTTATTTTCCAACCCTTCTTTGCTCTCAGCGCTCAATGCCCATTTGCTCATTGCGTTGATGTAGTTGGCATCCTTGGGAAAGGGTAAAAGGTGGAAGTTTCGTCCAGCGCCCATTTCCTCCTCGATGCTTTGCTCCCAGTCGCGCATTTCTGAGTGTGAGGGGAGCGAAAGGCGACCGGAGTATACGCGCGCGAGAACAGCGGATTGCGCTTCTGCTACTGGGAAGGGGATAACGCGTTGGTTGAGGGCCAGGAAACTTAGGGTCGGCCGAGGGGCGTAAAAGACATGCTGGTATGTATGGTTTACTCTTTCGCCGGTGGTAATGAGTTTAGGTTCTACGTCTTGTAGGAAGGGTAGGCTGTAGAAATATCCGGTAGCAAAAACTATGGCATCGATGTCGTGTTCTTCTGTTCCGTCTTCAAACATTACGCCTCTGCTATTAGGGAGAAACTGTTTGATGGGCGAAACTTCTCGTCTCTTTTGATCTTCACCTGCTGTTCCGTGGGTTGCGCTGAACATGGATTGCGATCTTGTGGACCACAGGAGCGGCTTTTGACAGAACTCAGCGATCTGAGCACTGACGTCTGCGCCAGATGCTGAATTGCCTACGACGATTGTTTTCTTCCCAGTGAAATCCTCGGGCTTCCGGTAATACTTCGAATGGCTAATGCGACCGGGGTTCTTTGCAGCCCACTCTTTGATACCGGCCATGGGTGGTATGTAGGGAACTATAAAGTGGCCATTCGCTACAATAACCGCGTCGTAGACTTCGGAACTATCTTCGTTCGTAAGTAAGTTCCGCGAAGTGACTTTCCATGGGCTACTGGCGGCCTTGGAATCTATTGGGCTGACATTGATGACTTGTGTACAGTATCGAACAAGGTCTTGCACATCCGCGGAGTAATCGTCGATATATTTTAGTACTGTCTCATGTGTAGGAAATAATTGACTCTCCGCAGGCCAATCCAGGTCTTGGAAGCCCATTAGTCCTCTCGGTATATTCGTTTCGAGCTTTTCGTACATTGGCGACAGAAAGGAGGGAATTTTCGAAGTCCCGTCGATGCCATTCGTATCAATGTTCCCGTTCATTACTGCATCTTTGGATTGCCACTCTGGTTTTTGAACATCTTTATTGGGGTCGGTCTGAGGTATGTCGAAGAGATTCTCGTCCCGCTGTTCGCCTGTATATATCCAGATCCCCCCTGATCGACTTCGCTGTTCAAATAGAACGATCTTATCGAATACTTCCTCAGCTCGGAGGTATTTTGCCGCCGCCACACCCGATGGTCCAGCGCCTACAATGGCTATCGTCCTAGCTCTTATCGATGTTCTATCGCTATCGGAAGACATCGTAGCAAAATTTAGGAGGGCGATAGGACGAGAAGGACTGAATGATAGCGAAATACGCGAAGACGCAACAAAAATTCTAGTCAAAGGGTATCTCGAAAACAGCAAGGAGACCATGGGAAGAAGCTGGTGACATGGAATGACGCCGATGATCGAGGTGGAAAGCGAGGACCGGAGCTGATCGGAATGGCCTTCCGATCGGAACTAGGCGAGGCACCTCGGGCAGCTTCATGTGAGATGAGCTTGCGCATACAACCACCGGTGGTCAACTGATGATTCGGCCCTAACCAAACTTTATTAACTCACACTCCTTGACCGATACACCCCTCATTGCCGTAGTCGTCTCCTCTTCTCCCATTCCTACCCAGCAATGCTACGCACACTGCGACTTGCACGCGTTTCACCAACCCCACGACCAGTGCGAAGCTTCTCAACCAAGATTGCAGCCATGGCACCACTGCGCATCGGCTTCGTGCCAGGTAGGCGCGTCATCAATACTGTTGCATCGCCCGCTGACGGAAATAGAACACTTCTCCACACCGCTCGAGTTCGCGAAGAAGCACTACGGCCTCGACGCGAAGCTCCTCCCGTTCCCAAGTGGCACAGGGCACATGGTCACGGCCCTGCAAGCCGACGAAATCGATATCGGAGTTGGCCTTACCGAAGGCTGGATAGCGGCACTGGGAAAAGCACAGGTGGCTAAGCAGGACGCTGGCTTCAGCGTGGTGGGGACATACGTCGAGACTCCGCTGTGCTGGGCCATATCCACAGGCGCCAAGAGGGATGAGCTCAACGGAATACAAGACCTGAAGGGCAAGAAGGTCGGCGTTTCCAGGATAGGAAGCGGCAGCTACGTGATGAGCTTCGTGCTTGCCGACCAGCAAGGGTGGCTCGACACTTCGTCCAACAGCCCACCATTCCCCGTTGAGGTGCTGAACACGTTTGCGAACCTCCGTGATGGAGTCAACGACAGCACGGCCGACTTCTTTATGTGGGAGCACTTCACGTCGAAGCGCTACTACGACAACGGCGAGATCAAGCGCATCGGCGAGATCTACACACCCTGGTCCTCGTGGAAGATCGTCGCCGCAAACCACCTATTGAACCCGAAGAACTGGAGTTCGGCACCCAACGCCAGCAAGCCAGTGCTTACTGGGGAACTCGAGGACGTCATGGACAAGATCAACAAGGGAGTCAAACACTTTGAAGCGAACCAGGAAGAGGCCGTCCAGTACATCAGCACCAAGCTCGATTACTCGGAAGAGGACGCGCGAGAGTGGTTGAAGACTGTTCGTTTCGCCAAAGATGTGAAGGGCGTGGACAAGGAGGTTGTCGAGAAGACCGTTGGTATACTGCAGAAGGCTGGTGTGTTGGGCGGCCAGGTTGATCAGTCCGCTATGATCGGGCTCGAGCGACATGCGGCATGAAGCTAATTTGTGCCAACCGCTGAATATCATGCCACGCGACTCGGACAACGGTTCGCGCACCGTGCCCAATAGCTCTAGTGTCGGCAAGCACACCGTGCAATAGGATCGCCAGTGCATGGTCGGAACGATGTCAAAGCTCGGAGATTTGGGTTCCATGCTTTTTGTTTGTTATGTACTGCATATCAGTCGGAGCATCCGTCTGCAACTACCAACGCAGCGATGCCTTCACCAGTACCGTCACATCGAAGAGCCAATACAACGCACAAGGCAATGCATTCACCTGTTTCACCTCTACAGAGTGCGACTTCACAGCACCGCGAAGCATTTATACTCGCCGGCAGGTTCTCATGGAGTGCCCTTGGAGATTCTCGCACAGCTACCTGCGCCTCGACCACCGACATTCCACTACAACGGACCCTAAAAGCCTTCGCCTCCGAGTCCAGCCCAACACGAAGAAAGCCTACTTTCGTCAACTTTTCCAGACCACTACCCCCGCAATGCCAACCGGCACTCCAAAAGAGCTAGAGTTATCTCACCTCGATCAGCAGCCCCACATCCGCGTGTATGGCCGCTACTACATCATATTTCCCTTTCCGGACATCAGTCGCGCCCATGAAGCAAAAGAGGCGCTGCACAATGGCTTCAAAGAAGTTCTGAGACAGTTTCCATATCTCGCTGGCACTGTGGACTTAGACCCCTCTACCGACCTTCTCCGTGTGCAGTACCCCGACCCCATCGATCTCGAAGCCGAGGCACGCCGTATATTCACAGTCAGTTACGACGATGCACAGCATGACTACGATTCGCTTGCGAAGGACGCCTTCCTCCCAGACGAGTTGCCCGCTACTATCTTCTGCCCAAACGAACTGAAACACCACGCTGGATTGGGCGAAGATGCGTATGCCGAAAGGATGACAAGCTTTTCGAAAGGACCTTTGCCCACCTTCGCGGCCCAGGCTACCTTCATCCCCGGAGGTCTGATACTGAGCGCCTGGTGGTATCATGCCGTTGTCGATGGCACTGGCAACGGAAGGATCCAAAAGATATGGTCCGATGCGGTACGAGCTCTCAGCATCAAAAAGAACAAACTACCGCCAGTTCGTCCGCCTGCTAGATACTATCGCGTACCAAGCTACAAGGATCAGCTCCAACCATTGAAGGATATCGTCAAGGAATGGAACGTGGTACCAGACCCGTCATCAGCGCGTCAAGCGCTCGCAACGCTGGTCCAAGAAGCCGATGCAGCAGGCCAGTCTACTAATTCACCTGAGAAGCCATTTGCGAAGCGCTTTGAGCTCCGCAAAGGACCGGATGAAGGACCCAATAAAGTCGTTGCCGAGATGTTTCGCTTCTCATCACAAGCTATCGAAGAGCTCCGTAACGAGCTATCTGTTAAGATCGGGAAGCGTGTATCCAACTTTACCGTACTATCAGCTATCGTCTGGGCAAATGTCATACGCGCTCGCTCAAAGTCGATCACAGCTTCGGGTAACACGCAGTCGACCCTTGCCGTCGTTGTAGATCTCAGAAAGTTCCTTCCACTGCCCTTCTCATCCCCGGATTATCTTGGTAACCTGGTGTTGTCCGCTACGCCTACCTTGGATCTTGATGGCGCTGCGGCCTCTCTTGAGGACATCGCAGCCAAGATTACAGATGCTCTGCACGCCATCAACGCGAAATGGGCAGTCACCCAGATCAACAGCGTCCTTACCAACCCTGCCGAAGCGCAGCAATCCCTTTTGAAGTTTCCCAAAGGCCCAGACCTATACATCACCAGTTGGCAAAGGATGGGAGCTGACAGGGAGTGGTGCATCCCAGGCACGAGCAAGTCAAATGCGACTGCTATCCGGCGAGCGGCGTGGGTCAGCGAAGGTGGCATCGTGGTCTTGCCCAGGGAAGAAGACAAAGAAGGACAAGAGGGTGAGCCCTATGAGATCATGATCAGTCTTACAGAGGCCGACATGGAACGATTCAGGGCCGGATTAGAAGATGCTAGATGGTTGGTCGACTCGTCATATAAGCCGGGCAAGGTCGTCACCTGGCGTGACATATTCTCTCGTCGTCTTACCGGATTCGGACTGGCCTACGGTGGTGCGCTCTGCCTCTTGACCGTGGTGATATGTGTGTGCACTCTCTCCCAGTCTGCGCGGATAGCTGGTGTTACACAGGGTCCTGCTCAGGAAGAACTCAGGTAGATAGGCTTTGTTCAGAGTGTCGGATCTTTATAGGTGGTCTGGCATCGAATAGGGAGTTACCCTCATTACGACGAAGGAAGTGAAGAGAACATGGCGAATGCGCCTGTGATGTGGCCAGAGTGGCTACAAGTGCCGAATGTAACCTAAACCAGCATCTCAGGGCGTTCTCAATTGAACGACTCATGTATACTGCACAAACATCCTTTGATGTCTCCGTTATTCCTCATTCGTGGTGTTTGCTCCCGGCTTCGCAGCAAACGCGATCGTGCCTCGCTTGCGCGATTACCTTCACCGCTCGGACCTGTACCTGCAGTTTCATGACTAAAAGTGACGATCCTCCGCGGCATGCTACCCGCTAGCGCCCCATCCAGCATCGACCCTGAGAAAATCCAGTTGCTACATGGCACGGCCAGCTTACACACCAGCGCCCAATAATTAGGCACTATCATCACTATCGAAATACCCTACAATTTCCCTAGCAAAACCATGGATCCCGAGAGAGAGAGTCTGCTCTCATACCACGAGACGCAGCGTGAAAGAACACAACAGCTGCTTTCGCACGAGATCACAGCGAGTGCGCAAGCTAATGAAGATTACCCGGTTGATCATGGCAAAGTGGCGTGGATGCAGGTTCTTGGTGGATTCATTCTGTTCGCGAACAGTTGGGGCTTACCGAATGCCTTTAGCGTCTTTCAAACATACTACGTCGACACCTTGATGCCGGAGCAGGATGCGTCGCGTATTGCCTGGATCGGATCGATTCAGCTTTTCTTCACCACTATCGGTTGCTTGCCTGGCGGTGCGCTGCTTGATCGGGGGTACCTCAAAAGTATCATCGCTGTTGGCACGGGCCTCGAGGTACTGGGGTTGATCCTGACTTCTTTCTTCAAGAGCTATTGGGCCATCTTCTTCGCCCAGGGAGTGTGCATGGGTATCGGCAGCGGTTTGATGGCGATCGTGCCTGTCGCTGTGCTAGCCATGTTCTTCGAGAAGAAACGCATGCTGGCTACTGGTCTTGCATCGACCGGTGCCAGTGTTGCTGGCATTGCTTACACTCTCTCCTTACGCTCGCTCCTCCTCAGCGTCGGGTTCGCGTGGGCTGTTCGCATCTTTGCGCTCATCATATTGGTGACCAACGCCGTCGCTTTTGTGGTGATGCGCTTGCAGCTTCAGTACGGTTCCAAGGGCTCCAGCTTCGGCTTTCACCACTTCAAGGATCTGCCATACACGATCTTTGTCGTCGCGTTCACGCTGTTCGTCGCGTCCTCGTTTGTGCCGTTCTTCTTCATACAGGAGTACGCTATCAAACTCGGTGTGTCGAAGGATATGGCATTCAACTTGTTGTCGATCATGAACGCCGCCAATATCTTTGGGCGATTTGTTCCAAACTTCATCGCCGACAGGTACGTTCTCATCATCCAATCTTCTTACTAGCCTAGTACTGACAACTTTAGGTACGGCGGTGTTAACACCCTACTTCCTCTCACCGTCGCATGCATCATCACCCTCTGTATGCTACCCCTCGCTCAGGAATTGAACGGTCTCATCGCTATCAGCATCGTGTACGGCTTCCTTTCTGGCGGCGTCATTATCATCCCTGGTCCCACAATTACGAATCTCTCTCCAAACAAGGCCTCAATTGGCGTACGTCTCGGATTGGCGTATCTTGTTGCTGCTTTCGGCGGGCTGCTCGGTAACCCTGCCATGGGCGCACTCAAGGGCGAGGGAAATGGTGCGGTAGAGAACTTCAAGGGTGTATGGTTCTGCGCGGCAGGCGCAATGGGTGTGGGTGCCGTAGCTCTTATCGCCACACGATGGCTCAAGTTGGGTAGCATGTTGGCTGCAGGCAGAGTATGAAGTTCGATGGGAAACCTCCAACTCTGAACTTCCTAAAAGGCAGGTGGTCGTAGAAGAATGTCAGCTTACCGTGGCTAATCTAATCACGCCCAACGATGCAGGCTGAGTCGGTGTTGTCTACGCAGCCAATCACATACTGCCACCGATTAGATCCTTAGTGGGAGACGCGCATGAGGCAGTATTCTGAAGATCTGGATCACTTGATAGCTGCCATGTAGCACTGCATCCCGAAGAGGAAACATTCCAAATCCAGCCGACACAGTATGGAACGAAGACGATATATAAGATGAGATACCGTCAGCATACTCTGAAATGCCACCAGTACCCTAGTCATAGATTGGGTGCATCCCGGCAAGCGAAAATGCTACTCTTTGCCTCCACCACCTCGTTCCTCTCAATCCTCTCCACTCTCCCCATCACACACGCCGCGTTCTACTACCCCACACCCACACGCTCCTTCCTTGAACATATCCTAGTCGACAACTGGGGCGCCTATGCTTCCAATTTTTCCTCCGCGATCACCCCTTGCACAAATTATGTCTCGCAGACCAGTACTACAGGGCTCAATAGTGGTCGCACCACCGCTGCCCAATGGATGCGCGTCATGTTTCACGACTTCATTACTGCGAATGTGAGTGCGGGCACGGGAGGGATTGATGCTAGTATTGGGTTCGAGACGGCGAGGGAAGAGAACAAGGGGAGTGCGTTTAATGATAGTTTTTCGTTTTGGAGGCCGTTTGTTGGGGAGGGGATTTCTAGTGAGTGCATCGCTCTTGATGAGTGTTTGGTGATGAAAATGGTGCTGACGAAGCGGTAGTGGCTGATCTTGTTGCACTCGGCACGGTCATGTCAAATAATTTGTGTGGAGGCACGCAGATGCCGTTCCGACCTGGCCGCGTCGATGCGATTGAAGCAGGAAAGACGACGGGCGTCCCAGCACCAGAGACGGATCTGGAAGAGACGTTACTTTTCTTCGAGCGCGCGGGGTTCGACAAGGTGGATGCTATTGGGCTCACGGCTTGCGGTCACACTATGGGCAGCGTACACCACGTAGGTTTCTGATTGCTATTTGATAGGGCGATACTCACTCATTGGTGTAGGGTGGCTTCCCAGAGGCTGTAGACGAGAGCTTCGTCACCCCGAATAACACGAATGGCGGTAGTAACTTCGACACTACACGCGGCGTCTTCGATCCAAATGTCCTCGGCGAATATCTCAACGGTACAGGGACTAAGGGAGGACCATTGGTGAACTCTTACAACGACACGATGAATTCCGATAAACGGCTTTACGAGAGCGATAAGAATGCGACGATGCGCACTCTCTTCGCGCAAGGAACAGGCTTTCTTGCTACGTGTGCCGAGCTCATGGGCCGAGCCATCAACACCGTACCTACTGCTGTTCAGCTCTCCGAGCCAATTACCGTCATGCCGGTCAAGCCTGTGAATGTCACCTACGACTTCAGCGGGGACGGAAAGTTGATGCTCTCGGGAAAGATCAGAATCCTCACACCGGCAGGCAGCTCACCCCCGCAATCACTAACTCTTCGCATGAGCGACGACGAGACAGAACTCGAACCAGAAGTCGAGATTGGAAGCTCAGTTTTTGGTCGCAGTGGTGGCGAATATGGAACTACGACTTACTTCCCGTTCTCGCTTTCTGGACCCGCCATTCAAAATGCCACGTCTTTCTCCGTCCAGGCACCCGAGTCACGGGAACAGGCATTCCAAACCCATAGCCAAGTCTTCGTCGTTCCAAGCTTAACAGTTCTGAGCGGCACAGCACTCAATGTGACAGTTGCCGACTGCCAGAAGAGCTCGTGTGAAGATTTGACTATCCGCATCTCCGCCCCGATAACACAGCGTGGCACGCTGGCGCCGAAGATGAGTGAGATGGATATGGTACTGAGTGGAGTAAAACAGGAAAGAAGGGTATGTACAATGTGCGAGGGGCAGGTTGTCCTGCCCGATGTGCCGACTGGGCTAGTTACTATCGAAGCTTTCATGGAAGGGAAGCTCGTTGACACCCTTTTGATTGATGGAGGGCAGGCCGGTTGGTAAGGTGAAGGGACCTGAACCCGTGTCGTCTCTTGCGGCACTCGCGCTGTTGAACTTACAAAACTAGACGGCTTTCAATACAATGTATATTTCAACCCCAAAAGGGTTTCTTCTAGATTGCGACTCATCACAATGCCTACAGCGACGATGTCGACAGTGACCACGGCCGCTCACCAACATCCCACTTCTTAGGCTCTTCACCCATATAAAACACCAACTCGCCTCCTTCCGCAATCTCGCTATGCTTCAACCAAGCTCGATCGAGTTCCTGCCCGTTCCAGGTAACCTTTTGCGGGTAATAGCTTGTGCTTGACAGGTTTTGGGCCCGAATAGTCAACGACGTCTCCACTGCCGTTCCACCAAAAAGCGAGACCTTGAGCCAAGAGAAGCGGGGAGCAGAAAGAAGGTAAAGCGGCTGAGCAGACACAGGATACATGCCCATGAGATTGAACACCAGCCAACTGGGTAGAGCACCACCGTCGATGTTTCCGGGGTATCCGTCACGGTCGTCGCTGTAGAAGTCGTCGACGATAGCTCGAGTCCGGTTGACTGTCATCCAGTTCATACCAGGTACGTAGTTGTAGAGGAATGGCGTTGCGAAGGATGGTTCGTTTCCTGGGTTGAAGAGAGCAGAGCCGGCATCGTTGTTTGCGCCAACTGATGTACCGAAGCCTGGGATGAAAGAGGCGTCTAACCGACGGACGAAAGCCTCGTCGCCGCCCATCAGATCTATGACTTTGGCCATGTCGTGTGGTGCGACACTGAATGCAGTCTCCCAAACCTTGGCTTCGTAGATGTCTGCATCCCAACCGCATGTTCCGCAGCTCAGCGGGTCATACGCCGTGGTGTTCCACGTCCCATCCGCGTTTCTAGGGCCTGGGAAGCCAGTGAATGTACCCGTGCCGTTGAGAGTTGTGTTTGCCATGGGATTCCATTGGTTTTGCCACCAGCTTGCTCGTTCGCGCATCTGATCGACGTCTTCCTGGGACTTCTTAAGTCCAGCTGCCATGCTGTAGATCGCGAAGTCGTTCTGCGGGTACTCGACGCCACGAGAAACACTGCGGGTGTGGTTACGCGTGATGAAGCGAAGGGAGAGATAATCATCCAGTGCTCCTCTGCCTTCCTTCGTGGCGCCGTCGAAGGCGACCGGATCAACATTGCGCTCGGGCAATATGTTCGCATCCTTCATCACTGCCTTGTAGGCCTCTTGCCAGTCGATCCCGCTGTCGAGCTCGCCTCGGCCAGTCTCGCCGGCAAGTGCATGGACGCTCTTGACGAAACCGTCCGCCAAGACCATGTCTGCGTGTGTGCCGCCCTGAACACGACCATTCCAATTTGCTGCGCGACCGGCTGGCAGATAACCCTCTTCGGTGAAGATAGAGATGAGACCAGAAAGAATGCGTGAGTATGGCTTCGTGAATACCAGGTGATACAAGGGCAGTAGGGTACGATAAGTGTCCCAAAGCGTATAATGGTCATCGTAGTATGGCTTAGCATCGTTTGACTCCCAATTAGGGCATTCGCCGGTTTTGTCGGTTGGCATCAGACCTGTTTGATACAGCCCAGAGTAAAGCATCCTCTTCAACGTTTTGTTGTTGCTTGTCGAATGGCCATCGTCTCCAATCTGTATCTTGTTCAAAATTTTCTCTTCCCATACTTGCCTTCCTTCGTCAACGACATCCTCGAAGGATTTCGCATCAGGAAGCTCATTTTCCACGTGAGAGCATGCCTGCGCAGCACTAATGTACGAAATGCCCAATTTGGCCTCAAGAGTAAGGGTGCCGTTGACTCGCTGCTCCACAGGCGACCAGCTGAAAAGAGCGCCAAGGCCCATTCCGCTCCCAGCATAGGACCGGACATCAGCATACGCGCGCGGTACAGGGCGAGACTTGAAGCTTGGTGGCGAATAAGGATTGTACTGCCAGCTAAACGTGCCAGCGCCGGGAGTACTGGGAAGTTCTCCCTGAACATAGTCGGATGTTGGGGTGAGCACAGATCCTGCAGGCACACTAAAGTTCCCGCAGAAATGAATCGTCTTTGCCCATGCGCTGTACCCACACATACAATGTGTGACATCTTCTGGTGCTTCGCAGTTGGGGCATGGCTCGATGCAGGACTCGGTCTCATCAAAATCTTCGATAAGACCCTCAATTGTGCTGGGAGGCCAGTTACCTTGGAAGGCTGCTGGCTCAGACTGGTCATGCCAATGTTCTGCATTGAACGCGGTTTCCAGAGCAACCGAGCAGTAATGTTTTCGACCGGCTGCGTGTGTAGCGACTCTATGTCTGGGAATACCGTTTTCGTCCTGAGAGTAGAAGAACAGGCAACCATGTAGATCGTGATTGTATAAGTCTTTCAGGAGCTTAGTGACAACGCCAGAGGTAAACGCCGTCTTTTCGTGTTGCTTGCGCGTAGCCTTTTCCCGAATTTGCTGGAAGACTTCATCTTGTGTCAAGGGTAACATCGTTATTGCGATGTTAGAAAATGGTAGCAAGGCCTCTGGTTGATCCAGAGCATGACTCCCTTCTTACCAGAATAAACATACTCGAGGTATTTACGTATCGAGGCCATATCGCGATGCATTGTGACATTGTGAAAGGAGATATATATCGTGCCAGTGGAGTCGTCTGTTCCATAAAGAGACTTGAATCGCGCGCTGTGAAATCCCGATTGCGGTCGTAGGGGCGTTTCACAATGACCATGCTGGAAGAAAGAATGATTGCGCGACGAAAATAAGTCCACTGTATGCTTGGCACGTCCGCGCTCTCGCACATACTAGGGCCTCGAGCCTATAGCATGTGATCTGGGCATTCCGGTGTATGCATGGTGTGGATATATCGAAGGCTTGGAATTGACGCTAACGGGGAACACCTGCGGAGAAATATCGCAAGATAGAAGCTGGTTAATATACGTTCTCCTCCGTGTCGTGATAGGGCTAGCCGGATGGTTAGTACGTAGATCATGCTCAGATGTACGCAGCAGTGCGATCTGCAACGCCATGTACCCGGCGCTGGAAACGGGGTACAGAATAGATCGCCGTACTACTTGCTTCTGTGGAACTCCGGTCGAGGATAGCTATAAGAAGCCTCCATGGTGCAGAGACTCCGGAACTAAGTCGGTCAACCTCCATCTCAGTCGACACCATGTTCGCACTCAACTCCATGTTGCCTGTGCTCTTCGCAGCTGTGGCATCCGCGCAGCTCACCTCAAAGCTCACGGAGATCACCGACTTCGGCCCTAACCCGCGCAATGTCTCGATGTTCATCTACGTGCCGGCCAACCTGCCGCCAAATCCCCCGATCTTGGTGTCTCCCCATTGGTGCCATGGTGGGATTATCCCGTGTACTAACTATCTGCGAGACATTTACTGACTTCGTACACTCATCTTTAGGTACGGCCCAGCAGGTCTTCGATTACCGGCCCTGGGCTTCGCTTGGTGACGAATATGGGTTTATCTCGATCTATCCCAATGCTTCAACGCTGAATACGGATCAATGCTGGGATGTGAGTAGCCAAGAGTCGCTCACCCACAACGGAGGAGGCGACGCGCTAGGCATTGTATCCATGGTGCGCTGGACTTTGGAAAAGTACCATGCAGACAAAGACCGTGTCTTCGTTACCGGAACAAGTTCAGGCGCGATGATGACCAACGGTAAGACCGGACGGCATGAAATGCATGTGAGACACACGCTGACTCCGTACCTCCCCAGTCCTTATTGGTAGTTATCCAGATGTATTCGCAGCGGGAAGCGCATGGGCCGGTGTACCCTTCGGTTGCTTCGCTGGCGACGGCTTCGACGTCTGGAGTGACGCGTGTGCTAGGGGCCAAATCGTCAAGAACGGACCGCAATGGGCAGCTCTTGTGCGCAACGCATATCCCACGTATCGCGGCTTTCGACCGAAGTTCCAAACACTCCATGGCACAGCAGACACGGTACTTTATCCACAAAACTTCCGTGAGCAGATCAAACAGTGGACGAGCGTGTTTGATGTGAGCCAGAAACCGACGGAGATTACCGAGGACGTTCCTTTCGAAGGATGGACGAGGTTTCGTTATGGCGACAAGTTCGAAGCGTACGAGGCAGGGAGTGTAACGCATGATATCCCGACGGATGCCGATACGGTGATGGACTTCTTCGACTTGAAGTGCAGCGGGCCGAGCTGCTTCTCGAGGCCCAGATCGGGTAACAGTACATGGTAGTTGATATGGTGTCTTGTTAGCTGTTGCTGTGGAGTCTGTGACACACACAAAGTATAGCGCTCCCATATCAAAGAAGAATAGAGTGCGACGTTAACTCAGACGGCGGCCTGGTCTTGGTTCGGGCTGGTCATTGAGATGGTCCATCGGCGTAATGCGACGAATCCCAGGTCTTGCAAAACAAACTCAGAATAAAGACAGAAGACTCAAGACAGTGCAGGCATAGCGCAAAGACATCGCAAAAACATTTTCGTGATGCGGATGCTGATAAAATAAACGTGTTAGGCAGTGGAAGGACGCGTTTGGGTTCCGCGACCCCCAGCTTGGAACCTTGGAAAGCTCGGTGCGTTACCGGCGCTAGAGCACGTGACGTCATCAGCCGTCCACATGATTCCATCCCATGTACTTGACCCGTGGACAGCTCCCAACTACCACGGAAGATTACCGCCAGGCTTTACTGTGATCACAAACTCTTTTTCATAAACAAACCGCTCATTCATGACCATAATAGTACCCGAGTTCGACTAGCATCAACTATCCAGCGCAGTGCGGAGAAGACGCGCTAGACACGCGGTCGCGCCCACGCATTTGCTGCTCCCATTGAAGATGCAGCCATCTTACGATGCAGCGTACGCGATCTACGCTACCCTGATTGTTCGGTCGCGGATGGCTTTGACCCGAGCTCAAAGATTCGACAGACATATTGTACCCCGCCCTGGGTTTAGCGACCCCAGATGATCACATCGGTTGCCCCAGCATGCAGTCGAAGGAGTAGCATGCCCCTCCGCTGTATAGCCAAGAGCTGGGGAACTTCGTATCGCTCGCATGAGGATGCTGGAAATTCTGATGCGGCTGGAGATCCTCCGCAGAAAGGATTACTATTACGGGGAAGTTCCCCCCGCAGTCTTCATTACACCGACGTTGTCGATATAATGTCCAGACTGATCCCTCGTAGCTCAGGTGGGAGCATACACACCTTTCCCGTCTTTCAGCGATGCGGGCTGTGAAGATCTTTGCGGCCTTCTGTGCCTGTTCGAAATACACGGCGCATGCTTTGCTCGAGGAGAAGTTCGTGGGCTTCGAGCCTGGAGATCAAGCCTTGGATGTTGCTGGCGCTACCGTCATAGCTGACGCAGATGATTTCGTGGGTATTCACCTTGCGCTAAATAGCCTGGTGAACGACTTCGAGCAGATCACTGGAACCCGACCCGCGCTCAGTAACGCCACTACTAATTCTACATTTTCGACTTCATCAACGGGCATCATCGTCGGCTCGGTGGGTTCGAGACTCATCCGTCATCTGTCCTCCGAGAAGGGTCTTGACATATCAGATCTTGAGGGGAAGTGGGAGGTGTTCAAAACGGCTGTGATCGCTGATCCAATAGCCGGAGTGGAACGGGCGCTGGTCATCGTGGGCAGCGATAAACGCGGTACTATTTTTGGTGTTCACACGCTTGCCGAACAAAGTGGGCAGTCTCCGTAAGTATCTTCATCATGTACATCTGGGTGGCGATTGATGAGTTACGACAGGTACCATTGGTGGGCGGATGTGCCGACCAAGAAACACGCCGCTATCTTCGCACTGCCAAAAGTCACTGTTCATGGCCCGCCATCAGTCAAATACAGGGGGCTCTTCATCAACGACGAAGCACCAGCATTAGTAACATGGTGGGCTGCACGACACAACTCCTCTTACTATCCTCTCGACACTGAGTTCTACGTCCACGTGTTCGATTTACTACTCCGGTTGAAAGCCAACTACCTGTGGCCTGCAATGTGGGGATCGACAACACCAGCACCAGGTCAGATTTTCTTTACAGATGATCCAAGAAATCAGCAGCTCGCAAACGACTACGGTATCGTAATCTCTACCAGCCATCACGAGCCGATGCAAAGAGCCACCAATGAGTGGAACGCAACTGAGACCGGGCCCTGGGATTGGAGGCTGAACAAGGAGAACGTCACGCGCTTTATGGAAGAGGGCATTCGCAGAATGGGAAACAACGAGAGTTATGTGACGCTGGGTATGCGCGGCCCAAGCGATAGTGCGATAGTTGGTGACGATGCCTTGGAGATACTTCGAGAAGTGTTTGAAGTCGAGCGTCAGATCTTCAAAGAAGTACTAGGTGATCAGAAAGTGAACCGTAAGAGTAATCATTAAGACAAGGTTTGGGCCACGCTGACAAAGTATAGAAGCATGGACGATATATAAGGAAGTGGCGACCTATTACGCGGCCGGACTTAACCCTCCCGATGATGTCACTATCATCATGCCCGATGATAACCATGGCCAGATTTTGCGCTTACCCACTGGTAACGAGACTGCCAGGGAAGGCGGCGCTGGCATATACTTTCACTTCGAGTATTTTGGTAGACCGCGATCGTACAAGTGGTCAAATACCAACAGCTTGGTCAGTATGCGCAGCTTGCATGATCAATCTTTTCCTAACAGACGCAGTCTAAAGTGTTGAAAGAGCTTTTGCAAGCTTACTGGCGCGATGCGAACCAGGTTTGGGTCATCAATGTTGGTGATATCAAGCCTTTGGAGTTACCTTTTGGATTCGCTATGGACTTGGCTTGGGACATCTCGAAATTCGACTTCGACATGATACCAGAGTATCTGCGCCTCTACGCCGAGAGGGAGTTCGGGATGGAACATGCAGATGATATTGCGGCTCTACTGATGGAGTTCAACCATCTTATTGGAATGCGCCGCTTTGAGATGGTCCAACCAGACACCTACTCAGTATTGAACTATCATGAAGCGGAAACGGTCTTGACAAGGTGGAGCACGCTTGCGCGCGGTGCCAAAACACTATACGACCAGATGCCGGACGATCACAAAGCCGCATTCTACGAGCTACTGTTCTATCCCCTAGTATCGGGCGCCACATACTACGCAATAAACGTTCGCACTGGAATGAACTACCGACATGCTATGGAGCGGAGGAACTCGGCAAACGCCCTCGCTCACCAGATTTTGGCCGACTTCGAATATGACTACGATCTAGTTGAAGGTTTCGACGCTGTCCTGAATGGAAAATGGCTGCACATCATGTCTCAGGCCAAACTCGAAACTTTTGACACCGGAAAGCCCAAGAATTGGATGAATCCATCCCGCGACATAGTCTCGAACCTTTCTTTCGTTCAACTGCGTCAAAACATGCAGTTCTCCGTCGGCAACCTTGGTATATATGCGGAGGGCTCCAATAGTCCTCTCGACCAGGGCCGATGGGCTGAGTCAATCGATCCATCGTTGCCTTTCACCAAGTCTCCAGCCAAGGTACCAGAGATGAGTCCGTATGGACCTCGTCAGCGGACTATCGATCTCTTCATGCGAGGTGACTACCGCATTCCGCTCGACTGGCAGCTCGGTGATATCCCGGTGGATTGGTTGTCCATAACACCAAACTCCGGCCAACTCAGCCAGACCTTAGACGAGCAACGCCTCAACATCACCATCGACTGGACACGGGTGCCAGAAGGATACAACGACACCCTAGAGGTTGGTGTAACATCAATGCCATCATTTTACCCATACTACGACATCATACATATTCCGGTGACCAATTTCAAAGTACCCGGCGATTTCCTAGGCTTCCCAGAAACTGCCGGTTACATATCCATTGAGAGCCCGCACTACCAGCGCTCGTCGCTCCGTAGCGGCACTGCAAACAACACGGTATCATTTGCTCATATCCCCTACCTGGGCACGCGCACCGAATCTGGATCTATCGCAATACGGCCTTTCCATGCTGCTCGGGCTTCTCTTGATGACGCTACCAAGGCATTTGTCGAATATGACATCTATCTCTTCAACCATACCACTGCCCTAAACGCCACGGTATACATCAACGCCTGCCTAGATACCGATCCTAATCTTCTCATGGAGTTCTCGCTTTCCCTTGATGACACCCCTCAAAACTTCACGCGTGTGTTGGGTGACCCGGAGGACGCGGGCGATGTGCCGCCGGAGTGGACAAGTGAAGTGATGAATCAGGTTTGGACGAGGAAGGTCAGTCTTGGTGAAGTAGCGGAAGGAAAACACACGCTTCGTTGGAGTGTCAATAGTCCGGAGGTTTACTTGGAGAAGCTTGTTTTAAATACTAGGGGTGGGGTTAAAGACAGCTATCTAGGGCCGCCAGAGACGATGATGGTGGGATATACATGAGGGCACAGATATCCGGTAGCTCCTTCTAAGAAGAGCTACTTTACGGTTGCTTTGGAGCCCTCGAAACGCTCCATGCGATCGGCGCCTTTCAACCGAAGCTTTACACCATAGATGTAGAGCTGTGTGACAATGTCAGTAAAATCTCAAATAACAAGCGAAAGCATCTGCACATACCAGTGATACCAGTGGTAACCCCAAACCCAACACCAAAAAGCCCAGCAATCCCACACCCCAGTCAAGGCCAAGTGTATCGAACAACTTCTCTCCGAACAACGGAAACGCGCCGGCGAACATGCAGCGAAGGAAGGATATTGCCGCGACTGCAGAAGCGGGAAACTTGAAGGCGTCGATAGCGTACAGCTGCAGCGCAAGTTGGATGTTCATGCCTCCGGCCATCATAAGCATGATGGCTACCAGTGGCACCATGAAGTGCGTTCTGGTGGCCGTGAACCCGTACATGAACAGCCCACCAACCAGCAACGCTCCACCAACAAGACAGCTGACGAGTCTCGACTCAGGCTTGTACTTCATTTGGCCGGATGTTGTGTCTCGCTTAAAGATGGCTTCCATAGCGCGAATAGTAGCGAATGTACCGAGGAGCATACCAATGCCGGCTGCCAGGAAGTCGGTGCCCACAATGCCAACGCTGTGTCCATATCCGCGACCAAAGACATCAGCGTAAGTAACGATGATCAGATATACGACACCAAACACCACTGAGTAGAAGAGCGAGGCTAACAACAGCGCTGGATCGAGAGCTAGATATACCAGGGGTCGGACGAACGCGTTGACGAGCGCAGTAGGGCCGTTAAAACGGGGCTGAAGATCCAGTACGGTATACAGCTCAGCGCTAGGCTTCGTTTTCCGTTCTCTTCGTAGCTTGTTTTGTAGAACCCTGGGTGCGTAGGACTCATTGAGGAGGAGAATTCCGGCGATCGAAAGCAGGGCGCTGGCAATGGCGGGTATCCAAAGAGTCCATCGCCACGAGACCCGCTCTGACATCCAGCCTCCACAAACGGGGCCCAAGACGGGGCCTAGAACACTGCGTTTTGTAAGTGGGGGTATCAAAGATGTAGGACTGTAAACTCACGGGCCAAGCATCACGAGTCCAGATGCCTTCGGACGGGCAGCGAGATCCCACACGTCAGATACGAATCCACCCACTACCGCGATGGCGGCAGACCCGCCGAGTCCAGCGAAGAACCGGCACGCGGAGAACTGAACAGCGGTCTGAGAGAAGCCACCTCCGAGTGAGAAGGCAACAAAGACCAAATTGCCAAAGTGTATAATCGCTGCTCTGCCGTACCGTTCGCTGAGTGGGGCGAGAACGAGCGGACCGATAGCCAATGCGAAGAGGAAGATGGAGACCTGCAAGGCGCCGACGGTACTGTCTGTGATACCCAGGTCGTTCATGACTAGGTGGATGGACGGGGCGAATATGGTGCTTGCGAAGGGAGAGATGAAACAACATCCTCCCAGGATTGCGGTGGCGCGCACTTTCTTGGCGGTTGGCCAGGTCTGAGAAACGTGTTAGCTGCAGATGCACTGCATGGGTGTTGACACCTACGCGAGGGTGTTCTTGTTTATCTTCGTCCAGTACCACCAGGTTGGGATCAAGATGCTGGATCTCGTGGCCCGCCATGAATATTTTGTCTGGTTGCGAGGCCTGGTCCGTGAGTAGCTCTTGATAAGCTAGAACGACAGTCTGTCTTTGACATGATCCAGAGGATTCGATGTCAATGGAGTCGTTCATTTTCGTATTTCCGTCGATAATAGACATGTTGACGAGAACTAAGTCAATGCTGGTGAAGAGACGTAGACAGATCCTAGTAGGTATGTAAAATGTTTGACTTGCGGTACCATCGCTATCTTATACTTCTATAACATCTCCTGCTCTTCTACACTTTTTTTTCATATAACCGATAGTCGCCTATCAGCGGCGTTAGGCGGCCGCATCTGCATTGTGTATAGTTGGAGGCCAAGGCACAGCGGGAGGCAAGGTGGAGAGAAGGGCCGGGTCAAACCGGAGAACCAATTTGAATCCAATGCGGGTCTTAGGTTCCAGTGTTCGAAGCCATGTCAAGATATGCTCACGCCGAAGAAGACGAAGAAGACGAAGAAGAGAGATGTCGAACGAGGTGGCCAAGCTTGAGTACCTAGGCATCTTCGCGGTCTTATGTGTGTATGTGTTCATCGATCTCATGTCGGCGAAACTTCGAAACTCGTTTTTACGACAGCAGGGCCGCGAATTCGCATTCTGGTTGCGGTACGCGTTCGTGTTGGCAGATGTTAGTCGCGTGGAAAGCAGCGGGTCCCACCTGGGCACGGCAGGGGACCTCGGGATAGCGCGAGATGTCTGACACGCTAGTTCTCTAGCGTGCGGCCGACACTACCGATTATCCCCGCCCGCATCTTCTCCGCTCTCAAGCCCCATCGCGTAGGATTCATAGAGCGCGCCTTTGACTCAGACAAGATTCATAAAGACCTCGAGAATTTGCGGCCGCATCTGCCCTCTTACGCCCGACCGCCTCTCCCACCCTCCCACCCCATTCAAGGAAAAAACCGAACACCTAAGAGCCTACATCAAGATAAAAGCTTGCGAAGTTGGTGGCCTAACAGCGACGTAGGCTCCTGGGTTCCTAGGTTTTCCCTTGTATGAGGTGCTCCCATAAACCACCATGACACATGCTCGGGATGTGCAGACATGCACCCGCTGCCGTTCAGCCAAGCGTCAATGCGACAAACTCCGACCCGCGTGCTCACGCTGCAACAAGGCGAAGACCAATTGCGTCTACGAAGCACAGGCTCCAGAAACGCCACCACTTGGGGCTATTGATCGCTCGGAGGAAGCTTTCGATAGCACATCTGCATCTTCTTCACCTCATTCGCGCGTAAAGAAACGCGCTCGAGCTTGCTTTTCCTGCACAAGATGTCACCGGCTCAAGATCAAGTGCGATAGACGATCGCCTTGTAGCAGATGCGCACGCTCCGGGTATGAGACAACATGTCTCTATACGCACAGAGTCAAGATAGCCGAGAAGCCAATTGTACCGTCTTCTGTCTTTGCGCTTGAGGACCCCGAGTTTGTCGTAGCTACCTGGTTTCTGAGAAGACGAAGCTCTAGCCATTTCAGGGCTCTCCTAGATCGGGTGAGCCGTTTTCATGCCTGTTTCGCTCAATTCCCTGACCTCTGATCATCCACAGCTAGAAACACTGCCCGGTCTTGAGGCGCCCCCGTTTACTATGGCTATGCGGGAACACATTGCGGGAAACTGCTCGAGTGACTTCGCTCTAGCCGGCAACTTCCCCTTCGGAAGTCCGCAGTCTCAAGCTTACGCTTCGCTTGATAAAAGACAAGATCTTTTGCAAAACTCCACTGCTTCTGCATTGCTGTACGCCGATGCATACTTCAGGGTATATAACCCTTGTGTACCGGTCCTTGACCGGTCCACATTCATGTCAAAAATGGAGAGTTTTCACCATACGCAGACAACAGAGGATTCCAGCTGGCTCGCCCAATACTTCGTAGTACTCGGCCTTGGCGCCTATGCCACCACCCGCAATGATTCAGCTTCATCGGAATACTTTTACGCCAGCGAAGCTTGCTTAGCGCAGACGGCATACATGTATCGTCCAACCACCGCCAACATCAGTACGCTGTGTCTCATGGTGCTTGCAAAGTCGGTGGCTTATGCAACTTGCTGGGCTCTAGACACCAGCTGGAACGTTGTGGGCCTCGTCGTTCGCTTGTCCATGATGATGGTGTTACACAGGGAATGGATGGCTGGATTCGATGAACCAGCAATCGCTCACGAGAGAGAAGCTCGGCGGAAGCTATGGGTGGTAGTGGTGTACATGGACATACAACTGTCGTTGATCACCGGTCAGCAATCAATACTCCCACAGGACGACTTCCCAACGGATACGGAACATTGCGCACCAATGATTTTGGAAGACTGCGTCGACTCTATTTTACCACGTGCGCTTTCAATCATACGTCACGTTTTAGCTCGGATAAACTCGCAGCTCGAGCAGATCAATTACGATGAAGTGGTACAGTATGACCTCGATATACGCCACCTGATGCGCCAAACGTCAGACTTGCCTGGTAACGAACACCTACGCTTAGCACTCGATCTCTTCTTCCGTCGCGCGCTATCAGTCCTTCACGGGCAGTATGCGATAGCTCATGATGCTCAATCTCTATACCCGGTCTCCTACTTATCATTTCTCGAGTGCAATCTTGCGTTGATGGGGCATCACCAACATTGCTTGTCACTCCCAGAGCAGAGCACGGATCTGGCATTAGTTGCACAACCATACATGTTGGACTTCTTCGCAGCTGCACTGTCAACTTGTGTACAGCTCCTCGCCCCGGTTCCTCCCCCTGACTGCGCAAGGGTACTCAGCACTTTGCGGAGTTGTGTTGAGCTCATCGGAAAGGAAGAGAGCAGGTCGCTGTGCTTTCGCACTGGATACCACCTCCTCAGTGCTGTGTTCGACCTGACAAACAGGACATATTCGGCCAGTGAATGAGCAACCACCTGATTAGAATAAGGTCAAGTGTCAGAAAAAGGCCGTGGACTAGACATATCAATCCACAAGTCTTATGCTCATAGTATTTCACCTCATGTTCACATCGTCGAAATGATGTCATAATATAAATTACTTGATTCATACACTATCTATATGACTACGAGTTCGAAAGTAGTTTCCTACAACCGTCTTCGGTAGTGGCCAGTGCTGTTTCCACCAGTGATCTCGGTGTCCAACACGGCAACACTAAGTTCGGGCAGGTTGAAGCGGAACACACCATCGCTTCCGGCGGTGAGCATCATGTTGTTGGTCTTAACGATGTTGATGCCAGTGAAGGGGTCGTTGTACATGTATGGGTCGCCAACGGAGTTGGTAAGGTAAGTGAGGTTGGCCATCGTACCCGGAGCAACGCCCTGGAATTGAACGCTTACAGGAACGTCAGCATGGTCGGTGGTGTTGTAGACAGCACCCTTCCAGACCATGGCACCATTGCGGTTCTCGTCGTAACCAGCACCCCAGTAGAGGGGTCCGTAGGAGGTGTTGGAGTGGGTGGGGAGAGTGTGAGAGATCGGGTGGTGGGCGAAAAGACTCCAGCAGTACCAGGTAACAGCCTTGGTGGTGCGCTTCGGGTCGGCATCGAACTGGATGAGAGTGATGGGCCACTGGAAGCGGTTGTTGTTCTTCAAGACGGGGGCGTAGAAGGTACCGGGAATGCGGTCGGAGTTGCGCTCGTATCCGATCAGAGAGACGGCTTCACCGACAGCACCCTGCCACCATGGGTAGGGGTACAAGTCACCCTCCCAGCGAATACCGCCGTTGACATGGGTGGCGGCGACCTCACCGACAATGTGGCCGGCGTCGTTGTCGAATCGGTTGAACTCGTAAACGAGCTCATCAGGCTCGCGGTACGGGTGGTAGTCACCAAGCGCATCGAGAGGCAGAATCTGACCGTTGTCCTCGTTTGGTCCGTGGATCGGAGGGTCTCCGGCAGGGTCGCTAGATGCGGCTGAAGCAATGACCTGGATGTGAGGGTAGGCCTTGCTGATGGCGTTGTAGAACATGGGGAAACGGTATGCGCGGTAAGACTCCCAGCCACCGGGGAAGCCAGCGAGCCAGTCCTCGTTACCGACCTCGACGTAGTTCAGCTCAAAGGGCTCAGGGTGTCCGAGCTCAGCGCGGCGTGCACCCCAAGTAGAGTTGGCAGGACCGCAAACGAACTCAATCTCGTCAAGAGCGTCCTTTACGAAGGGCGCGAGATCTCCTTGGGGTGTGACACCACCATCCAAGTCAAGACCAGCCCAAACACCCAAAACGATCTCGAGACCCATGTCCTCGGACCACTCAAGGTACTCCATGAGACCAAGACCGTGAGTCTGCTGGTATCCCCACACACCCTGAAAACCAGGGCGGTATCGCAGAGGACCAAGAGAGTCCTTCCAGTCCCAGTAAGAATCGTTCCTGAGACCCTCAAGCATGTTACCGCCTGGGAATCGGAGGAGCTTAGGGTTCATGTCGGCGAGAGCCTCAGCAATGTCGACACGAAGACCATTCTTGCGGTCCTTGTAGGTCGGTGGGAAGAGGGAGATGAGGTTGAAGTCCAGTGCGCTGGCTGCGGCACCGTCGAAAGTGATAGAGAAGGTGTTGTTGGAGTTGGGCGCAGCCATCTCGGGAACGATCTCGAAAGTGTGCTCAGTCCAGTCGTCTGCAACGGACTTGGATGGCACTTCAACAGATGCGAATACATCGCTGGTCAAGTTTGATTCCAGTGATGCAGTGAACACACCGCTGTACGCGCCCTTGACCCAGAAAGAGCCGGTGTAGGTCTGCGGGCGGACGTCCATACCCCAGTAGCCCTCGTTCTTGAAGCCAATCTTTCCGGTGGCATAGCTTCCATTTCCAGCTGAGACGCGCATGGATGCCGGCAACTGCTCCGACAGCGGCTCGTCTAGCATTTGAATGCTAAGTTGAGCGCCATTGACGCTGAAGTAGTGGTCCGTGGAAACGCTGTAGTTCTGGCTGTACTGGAAAGCACGGTTTTGGATCAACTCAGCGTAGATGCCACCATCACCGGAGTTGTTGATATCCTGAGAAAATGTCAGCACATGGCATTCTGGCGTGGATGATGATGACGATGACTTACCTCGTGAAGGAAGCCATAGCCGTAAGAGTGACCAAACGCGCCGGTTTGATTGCCTCCAGAGTTCTGGACGATAATGTCGGCAGCGAGCGCAGAAGTGGCGCAGG